ATGCGCACACAGGCAGAAGCAACAAGCCACCTGCCGAGGGCAGCCCTAGGCTGGGAGCCAGCGCTGTAAGGACCTCCGCCAGTCCTGGCGACGCAGCTCTGCCTAAGCACAAAAGGATGGAGGTCTCAGCAGCCACACCTGGACTTGAAGGGGCGATTCTGCCAGAGATACATGAGGAAAGAGCCCTTTGTGGAATCCCTCTGCGGACACCCTTGTCCGCAGCGAAAGTTGAACGTTGTGCAGTTCGGTTCCACGTGAGTCTGGTCAGACCTGCATGGAATTTAAGACAGTGTCACACTGGGGCTTGAAGCCCGTCAGGCCCAGGAAATGTGATCCGGTGGAATTATGTTCATTTGTTCAAGTAATAATATATGGTAGCTGCTTTTATTAACACAAGTTCACTTGGCACGAGTGCTTTTCTCGACAGGGCTGAGGAGCCAACACTCCTGAGCCCTGAGATTTCACAAAGGGCTCTGTCCTCATGTATCTCTGGCATAATCGCCCCTTCAAGTCCGGGGGTGGCTGCTGAGACCTCCATCCTTTTGGGCTTAGGCAGAGCTGCGTCGCCAGGACTGGCGGAGGTCCTTACAGCCCTTGCTCCCAGTCTAGGGCTGCCCTCCGCCCGCGGCTTGTTGCTCTTGCCTGTGTGCGCATGTGCGCATGGAGGGCGGGGTGGAAGGAGTGGGGCGTGAATGAAGGGGCCGGGCCTTGCGTGGGCCGAGTACCAGTATGGGCAGCAGGAAAGTCCCAGCAGCCTAAAGCATCGGTTGCATCAAAGAGTTCTGGAAAATCATCATGGCCTCCTGCCTCAGGCCTTGAAGTCACCCGAACCCGAAGGATGGGGGCAGAGGGGAGGTGGAGGAAGAACTATAGGGGGCACTTCTAAAACAAAGTTCCTCCGTTGCTCTTTTTCACATTGGATTTGCCCAGAATCCTGCGGAACGCTAGGAATATGCGATACAGACAGATGGAAAGAAACAAAAGTAGGGAACTTTAGATCAGGGCAGGGAGGGGATTTGAAAATCAAAATCTGATGGAAAGAGAGCCTAGTGCCATGTCTACAGCCCCTGTCATACTCCTTAGGAGACCCAGACCCGGGAGAAGCTGGGATGTTAAATTGGACACATTCTAGAAAGGAGGATATGGGCAAATGCCCTCTGAGTTTCTTGCCCCAGTCACTCAATTCCTCCCCTCGTCCCCTCCTTTAATCCACACCCTCCATCTCAAGGTTTGATTTCCTCTCTAGACTTTGCAAACCACACTGAAATCTTCCCCTTAACTGCCATCCAGATCAGAAATGAATTCTCCTGGAAGTGATGGACAGGTTACTCTCCAGGGCTGTGCAGAGTTAGACCAGGGTGAGAGTGGTGTGGGGAGGGGGCCGCAGCAGGGCGAGGAGGGACCACCAGTTTCAGACACAAATGTCTCACTCCATTTCCTGACCCATCCTGCATCCTGAGCTTCCTTCCCACTGTAAATGGTTTACTTATGGGGCTTGGTAATATGTGGACTTGGTTTAAAAGGGGAAAGAGATACAAAAGAACACTCCATGGAAATGTAGTCACTTTCTCACTGTTCTCTGGAAGCCACCGAGTCCTCCCCAAAGACAGCCACTGTTACCAGCTCCCTGTGTCTCATTCTAGGAAGAGCTGTGTCCCTGTATGTGTGCACACATCGTTTTATAAAATAATATAAACAGGAGCATACCATGCACCATTTTGAACACTTAACAAAATGTCTTTGAGACCATTTCAAGTCAGGGCACAAAGAGGCTTCTTATTTTTTCAGACTCCATTGGGTGGGTGACATAATAGAGTTGCCCACTCCCTTCCTAATATACACTTGAGTTGTCGTCGGTTTCTTATAATCATAAATACCACTGCAGTTAGCAACTCTTGCAGGGTGAGAGTGTACGGTCATGATAAACTCCTACAAGAGGCATTCCTAGCACAGCTGTAGGAATGTTTTATTCTGCTAGAGATTGTCAAATTGCTTTTTATAGAGGTTATAATAATATATACACCAACAGCCATTAAATGAGAAGCTCTACTCTTCATGCTCTCACTGATGAAAGTATATTATCAAACACCCAATTCTTTTAATTGGACCATTAAACTATAATCTTACATTTCTCTTATTAGGAATATTTTCTTATGTTTAAGTGCTATTTGTATTTTTTGTGTGTGTGTGAATTGTCCATTCATAGACACTGTCCATTTTTCAGTGAGTTAAGAGTTCTGAATATAGTGATAAAGTTCACTCTTTGATACATATGCACTGAAGTATTATTTTTAACCCAGGTCACTATTTATGTTTTTATTTTGTTTAAGGTACTTTTTCCAGACAGAAGTCAAATTTATTTGTTTTGCTCTTTTTATGGCATCTAGTTTTTGATGTCTTGCTCAGAAAGATCATCCTGACTGTGATTATTTAAAAAAACAAAAGTTCTAGACTTATAAGTTTCTCTTTTTTACATTTAAACTTTTGTTTCTTTGGACTTTATTTTAATTTAAAGAATCAAGTCATACATCAAACTTAATTATTATTAAGATATTATCCAGTTGTTCCAACACCAGTTTTTCTCCAGTGATTTGAAATACCACATTTATTTTATATTCATTTCAGATTCATTTTTATTTTATATTCACATCAGTCTGGGTCTACTTCTCGACTATATTTCGTTCACTGCTCTGCACCAGACTTTGAATCAATATGGTTTTATTTCCCACTTAACTTTTACAGTCAGTTCTGAGTTTCTTTCCTCCTAGTGCTGTTGCTCAGAGCTTTGCCCATCAAAAACTCAGATCCTGTGATCGACTCCCATGCACAGTAAAGAGACCGTGGTCCAGAGAGGGCCGGAGAGCGCAGCGGCCCAGGGACCTCCGCCTCCGCCTTCCCCAGCCCTGTGCTCTCCTCACTTAAGCTCACTGTCTCCCAGCCATTCAGTCAATAATGGCAGAGCTTGAATACAAAGTTGTCCAATAACCGAGGGCAAGTTTTGCAGGAATGCTGACCCAATAAGACAAAGTCTTTCAGGGCTTTTAATGTGAGGTAGTTCATGGTTCAATCGAGAAGAGCATTATAGTCATAACAATTATTTTTGATTTGACTATGCGCCAGGCATAACACCAATGACTCTCCACATATTATTTCAATTAATGCTTGGTCCAGTTCTATGAGAGAATTATTCTTACTGCTCCCACTCAACAGATGCGGGAACTGATGCTTAGGAGGTTAATCTGCCCACGTTCAGATAACTAAGGGGTGTTCATTGTCAGCGTAATCTCAAAGTTTGTGCGAATATGCGTGGTGCTTCCTTTGATTAGTTTATCTCTCTACCTTCGGATATTCCTTCCTTCCTCCATCCCACAAACACCTACTGAGCACCCACAACAAGGGAATCCAGAACTGGGAAAGCCCAAACTCCCTTGTGCGGCCTTGTGGCTGGTGAAAGCTTTAGCATTCATCTCACACTGATTAGCATATGTGGAAGTGCTTTGTAAAGGATGTGGGAGCGCCAGGAGAGGGGCGGATGCATTCAGCACTGGGCGGGGAGTGCGCTGTTTGTCGTTCGCGTTCTGGGACCACGCTGACCCCTTGGGGCTCTCGTACTGCATCAGAGGGGCCATCCACGCGGTACCCACATGACTCAGTGTTGCCCCTCTGACTCAGCCTTCATTCAGCATCGCGTACCAACGGGACCCAGTGGAAGCCTGGGAACCTGAGGCGAGCTCATCACTGCCTGTTCCTAATGGGAAACGGTTCTCATCTGTCCCCCACCCTGGCCAGGCAGGGTGCTCAGAGACCGATTCCTTTAGAGGTCAGACGAAGCCTCTGGCACAGCCAGTTGGCCATCGAGTGGGGTTTTTTTTTATAGCTGATGGCCTCAGTCAGCAGGAAGAAGTCAAATTATACTCCACCTATTTCTTTTTGCTTCATTCTGTCATTCTTTAAAGACTCCAGTCCAGCTCTCCTGGACCTCACGTTGCTCTCTCTTCCTCTATACCCCTCAGAGCCACTCCCTGTCAAAAGCACACTGGCCCAGGCAAGCCTGGGAGGAAAGGGCCCTCTTTTCTAGGAGTAAAGGAGAACTTGGGTGATTTATTGGGAATGAACTTGTTGATGTGTGACAGGAAGTCAAGCATTCATCTTCTGAACAGGTGGTCCACACACGCTCCCCTACCAAATTAGCACTGAAGGGGGCCATTTATCACTGACCCCAGACTCCACGGCACCACCTGTCACAGAGAACCAGGTTCTTTTCCCCATAAAAATTGCTGCCTCCTCCACCACCTCTGTTCCTGCACTTCCCTGGAGACCTGTGAATATCTAGGAGGCAACTGCCATCTTCTGGGCTCAAAATCAAAACCAAGAATGGGCATCTTTAAGGGACAGCAAATGTGGGATTTACATTAGAGAAGACAAGGAGGAAGCCCACATGGGAAGAAGAGTTAGCATATTCAACAGACAGGTGGGAAAAGACAGGCTCGTCTGTCGCACTTCCACTGGCCACCACCCAGCTGCTCCACCACCACACAGCTTGCAGAAAAGGGAACCAGAGCCAAGGGGCAGGAGGCTGTCCGACGTCACCCAGTCAGAAAGCAGGGCCCTGTACTCACTGGGCTGCCCCACTAGACCACCTCTCACAGTGGACTTGAGCGAAGAGCCTGTTGTGTCCTTTTCTAGTCCTTTCTCTGAATGGAATAAACCATCACCTAGGTGCTTAGTAGAAAGCGCCCTGAACCAGAAGTCAAGAGGGCCACCCCATGTGGCCCAGATCATCCATCTGTGTCCCTGGGCTTTGGTTTCCTCATTGTAAGGGAGGGAAGGGGAAAGGGGACCCAGAAGGCTCTCCCGTTCTAGCCTTTTGTGTTTCTGTTCACCTGGGATGGCTTAGCTCTCCGGACGGTTGTCTTATGAAGGCGAGAGGTGGGCACCAAGAGGGGCTGCTGCACCTCACTTGTAACTGAGCCTCTGCTGTTTGTCCACTTCTTCTGTAGCCCAGCTTCCAAGAGGAATGCAAGTTCAGAGAAACCCTCCTGCCCAACAATTACAACGCCTACGAGTCAGACCTTTACCGAGGGACTTACATCGCTCTAAGCAAATACGGACGGGTCAAGCGGGGCAGCAAGGTATCCCCGATCATGACCGTCACTCACTTCCTCCCCAGGATATAAGGACGCTGAAAGAAGGCTCACATATCTTTTCTATCGGAATTTTGCACAAGTGAACAGTCCCCCCTGCCTCCCATGACTCCTGAGTCAGGCTTCTCTTATGGCTGGGGAGACCTGAGTTGGTTCTCTTAGCCACCAGACCCTATGGCATGTAATCCAGCCACAGGAGGGCTTGCAGCCAACATCCTAAAATGGCAACGGATCCCATGCTCTGACCTCACCTGAGGAATGAAGGTGCAGATGACATGTGTGGAATGTGTCCACGTGCCCAGGTAAAGGCCAGGTGGAAGTCTGTGTGTGCTGGTGCGTATCCATACCTCTTTGTATATATTGTCAGTGCAAAGGCATTTCAGAGCGTCAGGTTTCTTTCTCCCAGCATCACTGCTGCAGGAATCCGTTACTTGTCACTTGTCAAATGAGCAGGAGCGATGTGCACTCCCATTATGCCTCTTTCCAAACATCTTTCCATTCAGAGGCCACTGACTGCACAAGTTGTGTGGCTGGTGGGGAGCAGCTGTCCTCTAAGGGCCAGGAGGGCAGGGCGAGAGGAAGATCTAGCTGCCAATCAGAAAGAAACTGAGCAGGCACTGCAAACTTCCCTCCCGAGAGGGCGCTGGGGACTCTGGGGCAGACTGTCAGGGACAGTGGGGGAGAAGGGACCGCATTCGTGGAGGGAGGGGACAGGCCACACTTGAGGCAGCTGGGGAAGGCTGCTGGAGGCAGCAGATGGGAATGGATGTCCCAGGCAGTGCCGTTGAGCCTGAAGCGTCCAGTGCTGTGTGTGGCTCCAAGAGCAAGTGGGGTTCTTGCCTGCTCATAACGTTTCCTCCCTTTGAACTGGGTCTTATTTTAACCTCCGATGACAAGGATCCTAATAATGGCAACCTCTTTGGCGAGGGGTGAGGGGTTGCAAAGTAGGGCATGGAGGAAGTGACAGGCTTTGGACCGCAGATGATAATTCCTCTCCAGCTATGTCCAGGAAACTCACCCAAGTCCTCATCTGATACTCTCACTTCCTTCTTGGCCACCCTCATCTCACATACACACTGGTGCTTGGATGCAATAGAATGGGTACCATGACCCCCAGAGTTGGCCCCCTCTGCCCCTCCTGCAGCAGAAGAGTGATAATCCTGTGAAACAAAGCAGCCAAGCTGAAGCAGCTCATTGCAGGACAATGCCTTCGTGCCTCCTGTCCTTTTGAGAGTGTTTAAAACAGAGGTTCCCCAAGCAACTATAAATGTCTGCCTGGAGCCTTCAGATTCCTGAACCATTGGAACGTTCCTAAATCTGAAATTAGAGCAGTCATATCAGAGTGCAAATATTTTCGGCATACGTGAACCATCAAGTTACAAAATGACCTGATGCCCTCAGCTACTCTCAGGGGCCCCTGCCCTCAGGACAGCCCCTCATCTGCTGCAAATACCTTCATCTTCGACATACCTCTCTATTTGCAGACCCATCCATCTATAGATAGATCTGAGCTGAGCAAGTGTGAGCTGAAGAAAGAGATTGGCAAACCAGGGGGAGACGCCACATGGCCACCTCCCTGCCCCGCAGACACCAGGGTGGACGTGTGCTAGGTGAGAAGGGCTTTCTCTTTTTCCCATCCAAGCAAGTTCTCCTGAGGGAATTCCCACAACGGCTTTCTCTTTGACCTGTAAGTGACTTTGGCTTAAGAAAAGTCAGTCCTCATCCACAGAAGTGGGTTAAGAGGCAGGAACACAATGTGATCAGCAAAGGGCCTCTCAGACCCTTCTCTCTTCTGCTGTGTCTGCACGGGTGTGCAAGGTTGTCTCCTATCTGATCACCATGTCTACTGAGACCTGAGCTCAGCTGTCAGCCCCCCGGGATGCAAAAGGATCCAGTTGCCTAGGCAGGGAGCAAGAGTGAACCCCACCTTCCTGCTGAGGATGTACTAAGAATAACTTGGGTCTTCTCTCCCCCAAATCCTAAGTATGACCCTGGTTTTTAGAGTTTTGTAGCCAACTGGCTTCTGCTTCTATCCTGAACCTTTTCTGGCAGCTGTCTGCAAACTTGGGGTTCCAGGAGCCCAGAGGCTGCCTTATTCCCTCTTCAACAGCAAATGATGAAAAAGAGCAATGTGTGTACACACCCTTGAAGATGGGCTTCTCAGCTGGAAAGCAATAAGCTCAGAGACAATGGGGTTGGGGGGTGCAGATCCCCTGTAAAACCTACACCTTCATCAGGGCAATGGATGGCCCTCCGAGGAAACCAGAGACCTTCCAATGCTTCATGCAAGTACTGTTTGTCTAACCATTTGCTGCCTCCTAACACCCCTTCCCGTCCCACTTCCCATACATTTTTGAACCTCCCTTGGAAAGCAGCATACAATTTTGCAATTAATGCCCTGTCATTATCCTCCATGGCTTCCCCTTCACCCACCACATCCTATTACACCAACACACACACACTCTAAGCCCCTGGTCAGGGCCGTTCTATGGCTTAAGAAAAGGAACATTTTCTCCTGTCATCTCATGCAGGTCACAAACCTCTCTCCCTTTTAGACACACAAGTTTCCTCCAGGCCAATACCCCCAGCCTGATTCCCTCCTGCCCCCAGCCCTGCGTTGTGCGCCCTGGGTTTCTCCTTCCCATGCTGGCTCTGAGGCCCCTTCGTGCCCTAGCCCTCTGAGCCTTCAAGTCTTCATTCTATTGCCACCCTGAGGGAGGAAGCGAGTGTGAAGGGCCACGAGCTGTACTCCTTCCCCCCTGCATTGGATGCCCAGTGCCTTTGCCCATCTTGCACCACAGCCGCTGGTGTAAATGTATCTACTGAATGCAGCCACTGGCCTCCCAGACCCCGGGGGTGCCCTCTCTGCCCTCTCTCCCCTTCTGTTCTTCTCCATGTAGACGGAAGTTAGAAAACTCTGACATCTTTCTATCCCACTGCTTTTCCCCAAAGGCCCTGGTCAGATGCAACTGAGCAGGTGTTCTCTGCCACTTGGCACTCTCTTGCCTGTAAAGTGGGTCTCATATTTGTCTCCCATTCTCCCGGAAAGAACCATACATTCTTCTGCCTTTCAGAAAACCTCTGAAGGTAGAAATCTCTGGGACAAGGCCAAAAGAATCCATAGCAATACTCCAGTCTGCACTTGCCCTAACTGGGTGTTTCCTCCTCCCAGAACAGGAGGAGGGAGTGACTGTGCCTAAAACAGATCCTGAATCTAGTCCATTGTACATATAGCCAACACAGAACCGTGTTTGTATACCTCACTGAGCTACTGAAATTCCAGCGTTCAGACAGCGGCGTCCTCACATGATCTCCCCTTCCAATCAGGAGGTACCTCAAGCTGGGTCCCAGTCCAGAGTTGTCCTCAAGCTTGGGTACAGCAGGTAGGAAAATCAGAATTTGTTTAATCGTGTGCTTGTAAAATGTGATGCTTCTATTTTTTTTAAAATACGTATGTGCTATGCACAAACCATATCATGTTCCAGCAAAAAGTAAAAGGTCTTTTTATACGTTCCTCCAAACTGTTTGACTCCATCCCTCCTATTAAAACTGACTACAAATCTTGGGGTTGTGGTGGATTTTCATCTTAACTCTTTTGCACCCCTCTAGGAGGCAGGCGACAGGCAACAGAAAGCATAGATTGACAGGCTGTTAATGCTACAGACCCACATGCAAAGGATCGTCACAGACCCACGTGCTGTGGGTTCCTACGGATCCAGGATGCTGCCGAAGGTTAAGGCAGGGAGAAGTCACGTGGGTCACCTAGTCCAGCCGCCATGTTTTATAAATGGGGAACTCCGCCCAGAATGGGGAAGGGAGCTCCTGCAGACCACAGTGAGACAGCAGCCCTCTTCCTCTTCTGCGCCCGTCAGAGAGAGCCATCCACGGTTCTGACCGACTCATTCACTTACTCACCATCAGGACACACTTACTGAGCGCCCACCTCTGACCGCGTTGGGCTAGGTTTCGGTGACATGTGAGTGAATGAGGCAGTCAGAGTCCCCATCCTCTCCCAGACTTGCTCAGTTCACCTTTGTAAGACACACCCCAGGCCACCCCAACCTTGAAAAGGCCTGGTCCAGTAGGATGACTGGAATTACAGAACATTTGAGCTGAGAGAGACTCTATACATTATAAAAAATCTTGTTAATAGGTTAAAAGAAGACAGGGAGTCAGCTCCTTACCCAAGATCACACAGGCAGCGCGAGAACCCACCATGCCTGTGTCCTCTGGTCGGTCACAGAGCCCCCTTCCCGCCTGCCCTGTCCGGCCTGTAGCCCCCTGATGGGCGCAGCTCGCCCCACCCCTCGTCCCTCCTCAGCTTCCCCAGATGAGCAATACTGGGCTCTGGACCAATCTGGTTGGCCTTGGAAGAGCCACCTCGTTCTGTGGCCTCTGCCTCTCATCCCATATTTATTCACTACACTTAATATTTCTAGAATCCTACTATGTGCCAGAAACCATGCTGGGATATCACTGGGGCAAATCATATACGGGCTCATGTATGCAAGGAAAATAGACATTCAACAAATAACCATAGCAAAATGTGATCCGTGGGATGGAAGAGGAACCCGGGAGCACTGTGGGTGGGGCAGAACAGGGCCCTGACCTCCTCGGGACGGGTGAGGGCGCCCATCCCAGAGAAAGCTGAGCTCTGAAGGGTGTCGACTGGAGTTAGGGGAGGCAGGAGGGCCAGCAGGCAGAAGAAAAGGAGCCCAGGAGGGGCGGGCACCGCAGGTGTTTGAAGGTGCAGGTAAGGGCCAAGGGGGAGAACAGGGCACTGCTAGGGTCTGAACAAGGGACATTTTTGCAGATATGTGCTGTGAGGGGGAATTGGGCAAGACGGGGCTCGAGACAGCCTGTTAGGAACTGTATTGGGGAGCACCTGGTAAAGATGGTAAGGTGCTGGAATATTTCAAATTTTTCATATCAGATAATTCCCTTTTTTCAAAGGAACTATTCACTAATTTTTAAGTAGTCACCAGGTTGTGCAGCCATCACCATAAACACATTTTAGCGCATCCTCATCACCCCAGGGAGGCCCTGAATTCGCACACGTTCCTTTCCACCTCCCTCTTCTCAGGCAGCCATTCATTTGCTTTGTGTCTCCATCGTTTTGCCTTTTCCGGGTATTCCATGTAAAGGAATCATACAGGAGCATATGGATTCTTTCACTTCTTTCACTGAAGGAACTTGAATTTTAACCTAAAAGCAACGAAGGGCCCTTGCTGAGTTTAATAAGCAACGGGACTAGGCAGGGGTCTCCCAACCACCCCTGGGGCTGTTCTGTGTAAAATGCCCTGAGAGGGGAGCCACGGATTGTGGGGAGGGAGAGTCTGCAGGCTGCCTGACGGTTCCAGGCTAGAGGGGATGGTGGCCCGAGATGGGCGGGGAGAAGGCCAGCCGCTCCACACGCAGTCCTGACCCCAGGGGGTGGTCTGTAGGCTGCACCTGATTCTCCCAACACAATGGAAACAGCCCCCACATTTTCTGAGGTGAATCTTAGGACATTTAATATTCTCTGTCTGACCACTCATGTCGCAGGTGGACCAACGAAGAGGCACCTCCGCTGGCAGCCGTGTGCATCATCAGGGCCCTGCAGCCCAGCGCGAGGGCTCCGGAGGCAGGCAGAGGGCCGCTCCGACCTCGTTTTACAAGCAAATGTGTGACCCGGATCACTGCCCCTCCCCTTGGGTGTCGGGAGAATGAGCCCAAATGCCATGGAAACAAGCCAGTAACAGGAGTTAAACTTCTTTGGGTGTGAAAACTATCCCGGAGATATTCCGGAATCTGTCCAAACTCAGTCAAGACTACCCCATGCTCTCCTACAGCCTCTGACAACCAGAAACGGTGCTCAAGGTGATAACTCTGAGGCCTGCCAAATCCTCGGCTGACAAAGGTGTTTATGAAGGAATAAATGTATATTCTTTTAAAGATTTCAGCACCAAACTTAGGACACTCCCCCAAAAGAGTTTAATGCTCAGTTTTAAAAAATCTGCCAAGCCAAATAGTGCCCTCCTTGAGCCTGCCTCCTGAGGCTGCCCTGCAGGAGAGAAGGGAAGCTGCTGGCTGTGGCCATTTGGGAGGCTGAGGTGTAACTCGGCCAGCACTGCAAGGTTCTCTTAAGAAATAAATGTCAGTGATTAGTCATCACTTATTTTCATGAGGAACACTACAGCCC